GGGCACAAGTGACACGGGTTACGCGGGCACAGGTGACAGGTCTACCCCCACACATGACCTCCACATGGGCATCTTTCGGGAAAGCTGCTCGGAAGTCTATTGGGAAAGCTGGTGGGGAGCAGTATTCCAGACTTCGGTTGGCCGAACTTTGGTATACAGCTGCGGGAGCATGGGCCTGCGAGCTACTCGGCGATTTGTCCCGAAATTTTCGGAGTTGAGTCTAAAAATTGTCGGTGTCTCGAGCGACTCGGCTACTGAGTGGGCCTGCGAGCTATACTCGGTGGGCCTGCGAGCTACTCGGTGGGCCTGCGAGCTACTCGGCGGGCCTGCGAGCTACTCGGAAGCGCTGCGCTGCCAAAAAAGCCTCAGAAGCCTGCGAGTGCTGGCTTGCGAGTCGCAGGCGTGCGAAGTGCTGGCTAGGGTCTCCTTAAAGCACTTTGACGGCTCTTTGCAAGCACTTTTGAGCCGCTAAGATCGCTTGAGCTACGGCCTCTAGGCCCGAGAATCGGCACTGCTTCTAAGTGACGAATTCTGCCCTATGTCTCGAAACGAGGCCTGTAGCTATCACAGAGTAGGAGCTGACAACACCCTCCCCAGAGAGAGCGAACTTTCGCCCGGCCGTTCGACCTAGTGTCAGAATGTGACATTAGGTCGATGTACAATTCCCTCTCCAGGGAGAGCGAAAGTTCGCCCGGAGGTGTACCTCGCTTCCGTTTCGTGCCTAACCTCCACTGAACTTTCCGACGAAATCGGTCACTTCGTGAGTCACTTCCAGGTTCACTTCTCAGGCAGCGGAAAGCCCGCTTCTCTCAGTGCCTCCCGGTGCTGCTCCGTCGCCCGAGCATAGGCTTGTGGCACGTAAGCAGCGAGAGAGCCCACATGCTGCCCTCGTGTGGCTCCACCACGTGGCAGCGCCGAGCATCGAAGCTGACGGGCTATCATGCATGTCCAGCCACCGGCCCCCGCAGCTCCCGGGCGCTTTTGTCGTCCAGCCAGGCCGCGGAGTGCCCCTCGTCGTCTTCGATCCACACCCGCCCTCCTGTGTAATCCCCCAGAGCAAGCGCGTGATTCGAGTGCCCGGGCATGTTCTGAATGTCGCGGTGCAAGCCCATGCGGGAATTGAAAAGCACGGCGATGGACGTCCAGGTCCCCTGCGGGAAGCGGCTCTTCAGGAAGTGGTTCACGGCAGCGCAGGCCTCTCGCAGGCCCGTGGCTCTGGAGACCCCGACCACACCCCCGTGCCCGAACAACCCCAGCAAGGCATATCTCTCGTAGGCCCCCGGCCCCACAGCCCAGGTGCGACCAGGGTCTTTTTGGTCCGCCGACCACAGGTCCAGCAGCTTCACGAGATTGGCTTCGGAGGGCTCGTCCGTGACGATCCGGCAGGCCGGTTCCATTTTTCACATTGCGGCATTTATCACTCCAAACGCCCATGGCCCTAAAACACCACGCCGCACCCCAATTTTTTTGGATTTTGAACCCGCCCGGCGAGGGTGCGCCCCGACGGCCCGGCGGCCGCCCGTTTTGCGACCCGACCACGCACAAGCGAGAGCCCGATTTCCGAGTGTGCCCCGCCTAGGGTTTGAGCACGAATCCGGCCAATTCGCGGCTGCCCTGTCAAATCGGTGCCAGCCAGCCCCGCGGAACGTGGTCGGGGAGGGTTTAGGATGGGTCGAACACAGCCACACGGAATCGCCGTACATCACAGATTCGCTGCGGCCCCGATTCTCCGGCTTCACCCTGCCTATGTTTCTCACGGCGTGAGACACTTCCGGCCAAAACTGGCCCAGCCAGCCCCGAGAAGGCCCGCGCAAGGCCAAAATGGCTTTGCCGGGCCGTTTCACACCAGACTGTGGCGAGAGCACGATTTCGGTGGGACGTTCCCTAAGTTTGGCTCAGGATTTCTGCGGTCGGGGCGTGCAGTGTGGATTGGCGTCCGACCCTG